TTTGTCCCAACTGTCAAAGCTTCTCTGATTTCCCCTTTTTCCTGTGATCTTTCTGCTTCAACACATAAACAGTTCAGTTTTTTGCTCGCTCTGCTTAGAAACTTCAGAAGAAGACATGTATGTTTTTCATCAGGATCTTTATACCAATATGTTTTATGTCAGGTTACTTTTGCAGTATTTCCATGTAAACAAGTGGCTACAACTGAAATGTGTTAATAGTACAAAATTCAGTACAAAGCATTAGCTTTGGATTACTGTTATACCTTATTGCCAAAATCAAGATATTTGAAAAAGAATGCTAGACTTGGCATTTTTCTTTCCTTTTCAAATTCTAATTTTGCAAATCATTTCATTCTTACAGCTTAAACATTTGCAAGAGAAAATAGAGATTAAAAATACAATATATGGGAAACTTATATCCACTTTAAAAGGAAATAGTAAATAATCTGAAATGGGAAACTACAGTAATTTTGACACTGCTGCCTCTTTTTGGTTTTGAGATGCATTTTGTCCTAAAGAAAATAGCAATAAACCAAAAAAAAAAGTCTTTCCTGGCACTTTGCCTTTCTGTAGGAAAAAGTGTGCATAGTGTTGCTTTGAGACCATTTGGTAGCAACATTACAATTGGCAATTTGTTGTGGGGAAAAAAATAGAAACTTATTTGCAGCTTTTTCAATGATACAAAGATATCTGTTTTCAGTTGTAGCTATTCAGTTCTTACATATGTAAAACTGACCTGGCTGTAACTGACAACAGTTAAGTTACAGGATTTTTATTTACATAACATCCACCTCGCATAGATGACTTTGGATGGCTTACAATAAAACAGATAAAAGCAATAAAATGCGTAATAAAAAATAAAAAATAGAAGCTAAGTTTCATAAATAATGTCTCTTATGTCCCCTTTTAAGTTATATTTAAACAATATTTCTACACTGTCTGATGCAGTATAACCTTGTTCTTTTCATACACAGAAATACAGTCAGAAGTCTACTCAGAAATAGGTATTTGGTGGCAAACTCTTTGTTATTACACCAGGAAGTTACAGAAGTTTAGATCTCCAACCTAGTAATATAATCAACAGAAAACACAGTCAAATAATGAAAGCTGGAGGATTTAGTTTAGCCATACAGAGATTATTTGGTATAAATCCAGATTTAGACTAAATGTTTATGCAATTGCACTGAGTAGCCTTTGTCATTCATTCTTTTGCAAAGGGGCATTCTTTATATTTACTTTTTAAAAACCAATATTGTATAGCTGAGACCACTGTGGCACTGAAAGTAAAGTGTATGTTCCCAAATGTACATCTACCCCCCTCTCTCTGTGTGTATATATATAGTATATACATGCCCACACACACACACATGATCTAAACAGAATAAAATTTGATAAATGATAAAACATCTTCATGACTTATATTGAATAAAATTTAAAGACTTAACTTTGAATTTACCTGCTTTTTGTTATATGAAAATATTTGTACAGGATATCACTCTTCTCTTAACCTCCTGTATAATTTATAAATTATGGTAATCATTTAAAGTTTTTTCGTCTACAAAATCATATGCTTCAGACTGCTGTTGAGAATTCTAGCAAATGCTTTATCACCAAAGGAGCTGTCCATTCAGCACCCATTAATTCAGAATCTCAATTTTCTGTTCATAAAATGTAAGTATCCTTATGTCCTGTGATACAGTACTAAAAACAGCAGTAAATGAAAGGAAAAATTTAAATGAAATGAAAAATTTCACTCCTTTTAATCACTTAATCAAGAATATGCAGGAAATTTGAGCATGCTTAAGCTTTTTAAATAGGGAAATCAGAACTATAACTTCTTCTGTTTCTTTTTTCTACTTAAGTTAACCTTAAAGATCCTAATTTACTATTTAACTTGATAAAGATGTTTCCAGTTCAATGCTTTTTAACATTAAATTCCCATATGACTATTTAGACTTCTAATGTTTTTCAGAACCCCATTTTTTGCTTTTATTCATTGATATTTCAATAGTGAAAGGTCTTCATTAGATAGACTGCATGTATTGTAGTAACTAATATGCTTCCCTTCTTCTTTAAGAACTACCTGAATTCTGGGGGTTAATATTAATACAACCAGCATATTTCTTGACTGCTGGTTCCTTTGTTGTAGATAGATGATTCTAAAGACAGAAGCTACTTATCACTTTTATATCTTCGTTGTCATTGTAGGTGAATTTGTCTAATTCTCTTTTAAATTTGGCTAAATCACTCTCTGTTCTCAGCAAATTGGTCATCATGCTACTTATCCAAGAATTCAGATTGGGGTGAACAAGATGAGTGTTGTTGGCTTTCAAAGGTGGAGTTTTTACCTCTTGTGATTGTAACAACAGTTATTGGGAAAATTATTGGTCAATTTCCCCAATATTTCATTGTCAAGGATATTATATAGAGCTTGTACATTAATCATCTTAAATTGCATCCTAAATTATTTTACTTTTCAAAATTGATCTTGTGCTTAAAATTGGTATTTTTCCATTCCAGCATGTCAATATAAAAGGAAACTTGTTATGTGTTTCTCAGTGGCTATTTTATGTTATTTATGTTTATATTTCATAACAGAAATTTAATTCTGTTTTATCCTGTTTTAATAGTTGGTCCCCCAAAGTCCTGTATATAAGATGGAGCTATATAAATTGAATTAATTAAATAAATAATTGTACCTGCTTTTAAACTTCCTTGGAATTATTTGGAGCATAATTTGATCAGCAATCTATAGTCTTTATTATTTGCATGTTTATAAAATTCCTATGGAAAATCAATGATCTATTATTCTTTTGGTGGAATTATAGTATTAATTGTAATATATCAGCCAGAAAAGTAGAACAGTGTACAAATTTTATAATGCTATATCTCAAAACAAATGATGCCATAAGACATCTTCCTTATCACCAGTATGATGAACTTTTCCTTCCTGATGTTTACACATGTATTACATGGAAATCTGAGCTCTCAGCAAACTGCCCCATTTCAACCTCATTGTCATCAGCATCCAATCATGCATCCCATCTTACATGGCATAGCCTATCCTGGTGACATTAACATATGAGTACATTTGTGCAGAGAAAAATAATTCAGGTATCCAGGCATCAACTAAACTATTTAGATTTTGAAGGTAAGAAGTGGCCTTTTGAATTTAGATTGGAAGCAAAGTGAAAACCAATGCAGCTGATATGACTCTGTCGTGTTATGACTGGGCTCCTGTCCAGAGGTGTCAAAGTTTGTCAAGGATATACTCATAAGGAGTACAATACAGTTGTGTAACCTAGACATGCAACTGTGACTTTAAAATGTAAGCTGCCTTGAGCCTTTGTAATGAGGAAAAGTGAAATATAAATAGACCGTTCTTAATACTGTTGTCTTCACGTAATACTCCTTCCTCTTCCTAATTTCTCCACAAAACACTCCTGTGAGTTGGGTTGACCTAAGAAAGAGTGGCTGGCCCATTCTTTCCTGAAAATTGATCTTTTTTTGTAGAATAGCTTATAACAAAAAACATGTTTATAGAAGGTAGATTTAAGTTAAAAAAAGTTTAGTTAAAAAAGAACCTAGCTATAAGGTATATTTGCAAATGTATTAGTAACTTTTAATTAAGGTATATCAACATGTGTTAATTGCAGAGTGAGAAGAGGAAAGATAACTGACCTGATCAGTTCTGCAGGTGGTATAAAAGTGCAGCCAAGGATGTGCTCCTACCTCTCTCTCATTTCAAGCATCCTTCAAAATCAAACAAATTAAGTAACAGAGAATTTGGAGAGATGAAATACACCTGGAAAAGAAGAAGAGACTATGATGAATATAAATGCAAAGGTTGGAAGGGGAAACGCAAAGGTGCTTTTTCAAAAGGCAGCTGGGCTTTCTTTGTTTTTGCTTGAAGATGTTTTGCTTCTCATCCAAGAAGCTTCTTCAGTTCTGAATGAATGGTGAAGAATGGAAGGATTTATATTCCTTACAGTCATCTGGTCACTAGCATAGTGTGTGAGAGTTGTTGAGGCCACTTGGAGGTTTATCTGTGCCTTCAGGATCACCTGAATAGTGCAAAGGGATACGGCATTTTCTTGGAACTGCTGAAAGAGCTGTGTTGTAAACAGGAGATAGGTAGTCATATCCCTCCCCCTCTCTTGAGAGAGGGTTCTTCAATCTTAATGTTTGACCTCTCTTTCACACCAGTGAGTATGAAAAAGAATGACCTTTGACTCTTTTGTCACTGCATTCGCCCTTCTAAAGCAGGGGTATTAATTAAAATGAGTCACAAAACATAGTATAAACAATTGCTTCTTAATGGATAATCCAGTTTTCCCTAACTTGTTTTCCCTCAGTTGGATGGATTTCAGTGCCCAGAATTCCCCAACATGCATTGTCATTACTGAAAAGTTAGAGATTGAAGCCATATATCTTAAGGCACTAACTAAAGATCCGGACGTTTGGCAAGAATGCATCTACCTTTTAAAATGAAATATTTACCCATAATAAAATCTTCATTCCTCAGGCACAATATTGCAGTCTTATTAGAACATGATGATACAAAACATCTTCCTGGGAAGTAATTTAAATTCTGATTTTTAGTGATTAAAATATGTTTTTCTGAACCATGATTTAGTTATATTTGATTTAAATTAAATCTGTCTTTTCAGACACAATCACAATACTGATTTAATATATTTTTTCTGAGTATTTCTAGCATTGGTAAGGGTGCAAAATGAGCTGAATCATATTTCCACTAGGTAAGTATTTCAGCAGTCCTTTGTCTTAAAAGGTCAAGGTTAAATCGTGTCAGTAAATGAATGATGCTGATAGCAGTTATTGTCTTAAGTAATCTTTGTGGAACTTAGACATTTTCATTTTGTATCCTAGTGCTGGAGATTGACTTCTCAGAGCTTATTCTGGAGGAAATTATTGGCATTGGAGGTTTTGGGAAAGTTTACCGTGCAGTTTGGTTTGGAGAGGAAGTTGCTGTCAAGGCAGCTCGCTATGATCCAGATGAAGACCTCAGTGAAGCCATTGAGAACGTCCATCAAGAAGCCAAGCTCTTTGCTATGCTAAAACATCCCAACATAATTGCCCTTAAAGGTGTATGTCTAAAGGAACCGAACCTTTGCCTGATTATGGAGTTTGCCCGTGGAGGCTCATTAAATAGAGTGCTGTCTGGTAAAAGGATTTCACCAGACATTCTGGTTAACTGGGCTGTCCAGATTGCTGAAGGAATGAACTATCTGCATGAGGAAGCAATTGTTCCTATTATCCACCGGGATCTGAAGTCCAGCAATAGTAAGTGGAAATTTGGAATGAAACGCCAGTAATTTTCAGGAATATTGGGCATAAAATAGTATTTAAAAGTTGTGAGATCACTTATGTCATCATCAGATGGATAGCATGTGAAGAAATGTTCGAAAACAAATTTCCAGGTCTATAAACCTGTGTATAGAAATGATGAATAGAGAAAATCCACTCTACTCCTCTAAGGAACTGATTGAACAAAAATAGAAATAAAAGAAAACCAGTTTCTTCTGCTAACACTCCCTCCTCCATCTTGAAATTTTGCTGACTGAACTATTTCCTGTTGTGTTTGTTTACCAAATTTACCAAGTTGTTTGTAACATGAAAGGAAACCTTTAGTGCTTAAGACAGACTAGAGGAAAATGAATTGTTTTTTCTTACTTGGATGTTATTGGCAGTGTCAAGACTGATACATGAATGAAGGCAAATATACATGTCTCAGGATAATTATTGCAGGATCCAATCTGGGTCAATCATTGGGACCAGAGGTTTAGTCTTCCAAGCTCTCACACTTGTGCTGGAGCCCATCCTCAGGGAACTTTTCCCTAATGGAATGTGACTGACTGATGATCAACCCAGATTGAATTCTGTAAGAGTAATACAGGATTGTTCGATGTTATATATTTGGTCAATAGTAGTTAGATTTATTTTTAATTTTTATACTTTTAACTTTGCAATCAAATTATTTCCGTAATTATAGTATGCTGATGATACCCAATTATATTTTAAACTGGAGATATAAATGAGGCCATCAAGATGCCATCCCAGTGTTTGGAGGCTGACCAAGTTTAGATGAGGGCACTGTCTCTGACTTCAATCCTAGCAAGACTGAATGGTTGTGAGTGTTTGGGCACCCAAATTGGGAGGTTGACCTTAGATGGGAAAGTACTTTCCCCTTCAAAATTGCTGGCCCTCTGAGCATCTTCCTGGATTTACAGCACTTGCACAAAGAGCAGCTGTCAACTGTGGCCAGGAAGGCCTTTACATACTTCAATTTGATACACCAAAAACAGCCTTTCCTAGATTGGGTGGGGGGTGGGGAGCTTTCAGATATTCACTCATATCCCAGTTACCTTTTAGCTCAACTACAGCAATGTGCTCAATAGGGGGCTGCCCTTGAAGACCACCTGGAACCATTAACTGCTCCAAAATATGGCATCATGAACAGTAATCAGCACTTCCTCAGTATGCCCGTGTACCACCTGTGCTCTACAAATACAGTTGCCAGTTTACTTCCAGGTGCAATTCAATATGTTGGTTGTTTCCTATAAAGCTCTATACATGGCTTAGGGCCCTAAACATTGTTCCAGACAATTTCATCCCACAAGGTTGGCATACTCTAGGTTGTTTTGACTTTAAAATGTCACCTAACAGAATCCTGGAGGTGCATTTTCTCTGTAGCAACACCTTTTCCCTGAAACAATTTGGTTGGCTGCTCCTCAGTGTGGTATAAAAAGCCATGAAGATCTGGCTGACCACTCAGGAGTTTATCAAGGGAGAGTAAGATTCTTTGCTTCATCATGCATGGCATTTTTAAAAAAATGTTTTTATTGCATTTATTTGCTTGATCATTCTGAGTCTTTCAAAATCATTGAGAGTTGGATGGCATACAAGTGAATAAATTATTATTGTATAACTTTATTTTGTGGTGGTATCAGAAAAATTACCTCAGTACTTGAGGCTAGGCTAATGTTGAATGGCAAGCCTGAAAACATAGGAAGCTAAATCCATTAGTCTCATGAGATAATTGTAATTTATGTAGATAAAATCTAATAGGGTGTCCTTTCAAGAGAAATGAATTCAGTATCTTATGAACTTGATTAAGTAATGTGATGGAATAAACGTGGGCAGGAGTCTAATAGAAATGAATCTTGAAACTAAATTATTCTTAAACATATTTTAGCTTACCAAAAATACTCAGAGGAATTATAGACCCTTAAAACTTCTTTCATTTATATCAGAATGAGGATAGTTCAGTTTTAACTATTGAAATGGTTCTTGGAAAGTCTAACATCATGGAGAAAAAAAGGCACCCTTATTTTTTAAAAAAACCTTATTACTATTTCACCTCTGCAGCAGGTTTGAATTAATCTAATTAATAAAGTAACCAATCACACTTAGGAATTCATGACACAGAGCTAAAAATAAAACATTTTGATCTATCTATAAAACACAAAATATCAGCATATGATAACGTCTGATGCCCTATTTTTCTAATTATAAAAGCCAGGAATTCTAAAATCAAAATAAAGAGAAAAGGAGAAAAATGTCACATTTCATTCATACTCCAACATAAATTTAAAGTGAAATTACAGTGTTAAGAACTATGATTTATAAGATGTATGGATCATATTGATTCAAAATATTTCAATTATATCAAACACTTTTTCAGCAAGAACATCGCTTAAGGGACCTTAGAGTTTCTATCACAAACTTAATTGTTCCATATAAATAATACTGTTAATCTATAATCCAGGAAATAGTTGTATAATTAGAACACACAGCAATCCCTGTTTGAGTACTATGATATTTGCCTGATTAATACGCAAAAGACAGGGATTCCCGTAAGAATTTTGAGCATTGACTGACATCATCGGGGCCAGATGTAGATTTAGTTGCAGGAATTAATTAATCAGTGAGTGACTTGCCTCCAAAAGTTGTAGGTGCTCCAACAGTGGAAGTCTTTAAGAAGACATTGGGCAGCCATATGTCTGAAATGGTATAGGGTTTCCTGCTTGAGCAACGGGTTGGACTAGAAGACCTCCAAGGTCCCTTCCAACTCTGTAATTCTGCATTCTTAAAATGAAAAATGGTCCCAGTTGGTAACATCCACTAGCGGAGCAGCTTTACCCCAGATATTTAGATAGCTGTGATGTTATAGATCTTTTAAAAACAGTTAAAAGCAAAATTATTCTAACATGCTTTTGGTCTGGATAATCATAAAAAAAATTATTATAGATGTTGCTGTTGTGTTATCATTTTCCTTGTGTGTCTTTATAATCTTGTTTGCTAGCCAGGGTTCTTTGTGATTAAGACAGATGATAAATACAGGTAGTCCTCCTTTAGTGACCATTCATTTAGCAACCATTCAAAGTTATGACGGCTGAACAAGTGATACTTAGGATCGGTCCACAAAATTCCAGCCATTCTGACATTGATTGTCCTCTGGGTCAATCTGGATTGTCCTCTATCATCCCATAGGTACATGATTACCATTTGCAGCCTTCCCCAGTCACAATTCATTCTGACCAGTCACTTCTACCACCTGCCATCTAGCACAACCCATCCCCGGGCCTGCCATGCTTATGCCTCCCCTCATGCCAGGCCTTATCTGCTTCCTGCTTACAAGCCACCTGGACTCACTTAATAACCTTTACTTAATAATGGCTATTGGAAGGGCCAGGATTGCTGTCAGTAAGCAATGCAGGGTGACATTGTGTTTATGTTCACATTACCAATATTAAGCAAGGGCTCCCTGTATTATGAAATACATACATACTTACATATATACACCCCAGAGGTGGGTTGCTCCCAGTTCGGCACGGATCGGGTGAACCGGTAGTAGCGGTGGCAGGAGGCTCCGCACACCTGTCCAGACGCTTCTGCACATGTGCAGAAGCATTGCATGCGCACACTCCAGTAGTAAAAAATTTGGAAACCCACCACTGATACACCCATACATGTATGTGTGTGTGTGTGTGTGTGTGTGTATATGTATGTATATGTATGTGTGTATGTATATATAAATATATGAATGCCAGTTAAAAACACCTTCTCCACTTGATTCTTCAATAATCATATTATAAAATCTATTTAAAATAGATTTAGAATTTTACTTACATAAACCTTCTCACTCTGCTTTCTGTTGGAGCTATTCTTAAGTTGAAATATGTCTCTGGTAAAAAAACAATTTCACTTAGCTAATGCCTTGCTTATCAAAAGAATCAAAACATTTTACAAACATGCTCCATTTTATATAATTTTGGTCTAGAAAGTTAAAGAAGGAAATTTGGAACGAATGAAATATATGAAGTATTCCTTTTTTATAACACACTGCGGAGTTAGTCACTAAATGAAATGCAATATTTTACAAGTCAGTGTTCATCTCAAAAAAAAATTGATCAAGGCTGACCTAAGGGTATTTGCTTTAGATGAACGTGACTTTGAAGGGAAAGTAAATAGATTTAGGTAGGAGAGTTTGGCTCTGTAGCTTTTGAAAATAAACCACAATACCTGTTCTTAATGATCTTTCAAAGTTACGTTCTTTAAAGTCAATCTTGATAACTACACCTAGCACATAAGGTTGACAAAAGGTTTGCAATGTTCAATTGCTTTTATACATTTATATGTTCTTTCATCTCTTCATCAACTTTTTTAGCTAAAACGTAGGTAGGTATGTTATCTGGTATTCTGATATTTGGCACTTAGTTCTATTTGCTTATCAGGAATAGCATTGGTTAAATAGAGACCAGTGAATCTTTAGGCATTTGCAATGGTGACATTTTAATGGGAGAAATATATATATATCTTCTGTGACTATAAATTAACTCTTCTTCCCACCCCCTCACATTATGTTTTAGTACTGATCCTTGAAAAAGTGGAAAATGGAGACCTGAGCAACAAAAATTTGAAGATCACTGATTTTGGCTTAGCCAGAGAATGGCATAAGACTACTAAAATGAGTGCAGCTGGAACATATGCTTGGATGGCTCCTGAAGTTATCCGTTCCTCTATGTTCTCTAAAGGCAGTGATGTGTGGAGGTATGTTTATTAACACTAAAACATTTTTATGAATCCTATCCCCAGGCCTGACGGGATAGCCAGATCTTGAGGGCTGTGCGGAAGGCCTGGAC